CGTGGCTTCGACGGACTCTTCTTGGAGCTGCCTTCCGGGGTACAGAGGGCTTAGGGTTTAGGGGTTTAGGGGTTTAGGGGTTTAGGGGTTTAGGGGTTTAGGGGTTTAGGGGTTTAGGGTTTAGGGTTTAGGGCTTAGGGTTTAAGGTTAGGGTTGTGTTGCTGGAACCTACCGCGACGAGACTGTCCGGCCTGGGGCTGGAGCCTGTGGCGAGCTGTGTCAAGGGGAGGGCTGTTTTGCAATCTTGGTGTTCCGGTTTCCGGCAAGCACTGCGCTTTCCAGGCTCAGCACCTCGCAGCTTCGTACTCCGCACTTGTTGGCCACCCTCGGTCCCGCATAACAAAGTGATTTGCATCGGTCCTAAGGGCACCCTGAACATGTCCCGAGTCTTCTTTTCTAAGCGAGTCTCACCCTGGACCATTCTAGATCCGAATCGAACCTTGAGGTCAGAGTCCGCTCCTGAACGAACTCCGACGGAGCTGCCCGAGGTGCACGGGTGGTGAGTCCCAAACGCCCGAAGCTCTTTGCACAAGGGCCTGCGACTCGGTTGATTTTCTTCAGTCGAAACGTCATCACAGGACATGCCCGTGCCGACGGACGTGCCTTCGCCAACCTCCTTGCGCTCTGAGGACGAGGTGCGCTTTTGGGGCTTCGTGTCGAAGGGAGTAACGAAGCATCTTGGTATGCCACATGGTTTTCAAGTCAAGCTCTTGCTCTTCCAGCTGTGTGTATGCCAGTAGTCCTTAAAGGCCGCTCTCCCTATAATGGTTTAGAAATTGGGGGGTACCTTATTGGGGTCCTTGTTGTTAGGAGGTCCTACTATGCGGGGGGTCTATAGTAAGGGGTGCCTTATTTTCGGAAACCCCTCTAAAGACCCTTCGGGTTTTGACAGAGCGAGAGAGAGGCGAGGCAGCACAACCCTAAACCCTAAACCCTAAACCCTAAACCTTAAACCCTAAACCCTAAACCCTAAACCCAAAACCCTCCGAACCCCTCCCACAGGCGGACACCATCGTCGAGCAGGTCGGCACCTTGCGGAAGCCTCAGACGCTGAAAGTGTAACTTAGGGTTCAGGGTTTAGGGTTTAGGGTTCAGGGTTTAGGGTTTAGGGTTTAGGGTTCAGCTGCCAGGTTTCCGATGCCGGACAGGAATAGAAAACCCTAAACCCTAAACCTTAAACCCTAAACCCTAAACCCTAAACCCTAAACCCTAAACCCTAAACTAAGATCTTACGGCTGACCTCAGCCGTAACTGCCTGTAACCCCACAACCTTTCCCCATGGATCCGGCATGCTGAGGCCTACGCAGACATTGGTGGCCCCTCCATCCGAGGCCCCCGGACGGGCTGGTAGGTGAAGGCTGGCAGGCTCGAGCAGATTCTGGGCTCACGAGCGGATCTCCTTGATGCTGCTTGCAGCAAATCGTAGATGGCCGGGCCGGGCAGACGTTGCCACTTTGCAGAGTCTTCCGCCAGAGTTCAAGAATTCCACTGAAAGCGGTTTATCATTTCGCAGGCGCGTGCTCGGGTCGCTGCGCATTCGGAGGATGAGACTGCCGAGACGAACGCGAGTAGCCCAGCCTTGTCGCAGTGACGTGTCCTTTCGGGTTTTCAAGCTTTCCTTCGGGTCAACGAGACCTCTAAGGTGACTTACAGAGTACAAGGGTTCGGTTGTTCATGGTTTGGAGCTCCAGATTTTTAGCCTTCGGGCTCTGGGGTTGCGGATTCGGAATAGAGTCTCGTGGAGTTCAATTTTGGTATGCCGCGGTGTTGACACGTTGACCTTGCTCCCTGAACCCCGAGCGCGACCTCGAAATCTGAATTCGAAATTTCCTGTAGCAACCCCATCTTCTACACCAACAATATCCAGGAAGCAGTGATTTTCAACTGTAGGCTCCATGCATACCCACGATTAAAGTTGTTTTGGCAAGGAGCAAGAGCAACATGTTCGGTGTGGCTGTGCGACGGGAGTTGGGCCCGAGGTTCCCGGCGTGCCGCAGGCCTCGGCAGCGGCCGGATCCAGCGTCTTCATGCAGCCGCCTCAACACATCTTTGGGGCTAACGGTTGGTTCGGGTCTTGGGGGCAGAAAAAACAGGCTCAGGGGTTCAATCTTTTGTGCTTAGCTCTAAGAAGCGAGAGGTTGGGGTAGGGCCGGGTAGGGTTTTCCACGCAGGGGGTTCTTTTCATTGGGGTTTTCAAGTTTCAAGGCTTCTGGGCAGAAGGCTTATGATCGCCTAGGCCATAAGCGGGTGATAATGGGTGTAGAGTCTTATATACAGATTTATTTGTTATTTGACTATGCATGTGATAGTGTAAACTTTGTGTATAGTGTAGTATACTTAATAATTAATAATATTACAGTGTATAAAAAGACATACAAAATAGATGCGTCTAGATGTTTATATTATATACGTATACTGTATGGTGCATGCTGAACACAGGTCATAGCCTATTACATACCATATCTACAGTACCGGATCTAGAACATAATCTCTAATCGGTACTTTTTTCTGTTTGCACTGTACACGCACATGCACGCACAGTAACAGTTAGAAGCCCTGAGGATTTCATTGTGAATATTCAGGAAACAGAGATTGTGCGATTAAAGCCCAGGGGGCACTGTCTTGAGTGTAGGGTAAGTGAAGACCTTACACGCTTGAAAATTATCAAAACAGGTGCTGGCCGGTTAGCCACATCGAGGAGCAGGTCGTCGTATTAAAATATTGAGGAACTGCAGGCTTCATATTTGTTCATGGAGGTCTCAATAGAGTATACAGGATACAGGAAGTAGAGTCAAGCTTTCGTCTGGAAATAGATAAGAAGTTGAAATGCAGAGGAACTAGCCTCGCGGGCTCGCGGAATTACCGAGCGGGTCGCCATTCGCGGTTTGGCACGCGGAAGCACCGGGAGAACAATTTGGAAAGCCGTGCGAGAGGTACGAAAGCTAAATTAAAACCAAAATCGCCCAAAAGACACCGAATCCTTTTTTCATTCCGCGCCCCAGCAGGGTTTGGGGGTTTAGAATCTCGACAACTTCGGAGGGCGGTAGAGATCCCGCCCTCCCCACACCCTAAAGCCCTTCTCTTGAACGTTGACACCTTAAGCACACCCCCCCACCCTTATAAATGCAGGAAAGGGGGGGGGGGTACCAAATTGCAGAACATTATTTTCTGCATTTTCCGTGTTGCGTGTATCTCCATATGAGGGGGGGGGGTCGAGAGGGGCCAAATTGCAGGCATGCTCTGTGTGTCCGGATCATGCATGCAGGAAACGTGTGTTGCATTCCTCGCCGGCCTTATCAAGACCCATTTGGGGAGGCAAAAAGTGCTGGCACGGGTGCAGGGACACATGTCTGTCTGAGTCATGGGCCTGGAAGGTATCGATTCGAGCTTGTCTGTATCAAGCGCAGTGAAAGAAATGCGTAGTTCACATGGCTGAATACATGCGCCCAGGATTGACTTTCAGGCAAGAGGAAGGGGAGGGAAGAGAGGAGTGGAAGAGAGGAGGAAGAGGGAGGAGGGGGGCGAAGAACCGCAGCGCGCGCCGCGGCTCCCGGAAGGCATCGAGGGGGGGCGGGGAAGAGAAAGGCAGACTGCGCACCAGGGGCCAGGGGTAGCCGTGCGTGAGCAAAAAAAACAACTGAGGGCCGCCTGAGGGCCGCCTGAGGGACCCCATCATAGGGAGGGTTCAAGCCCTGGATTCTGCATTTTCTGCTTGGGTCGGGGGGGGGGTGGTTAATAATGGAATCTGCATATTCAACCCCCCCCCCCTCTTAAGGGAGGGGGGGTTTAAGCACCCGCAGTGACAGTCGGGCTGACAGGTCGGACTCTGGTATCCTGCGCTCACCGACGGACATGCCGGCAGGAGTCCCAGCAAGGAGTGCGTCAGGAGAGCTGTTTCGAGCGTGGGCTTCTCTATCCTCTGTCGAACCGCTGAGCCACTTGCAGCAAACCGCAGTGCCTGATACAGTCTTGCCGCATTAGAGACCGCACCCAATTTTTCGCACCGAACTCGCGTGACTAGCACGCCTTGGCGTGGCCCGGGCTGGGATCGCAGGAAGGAGGCAACAGGCATGCAGCAGCTAGGCAACACAGCAACTCAGAAGACACAAGTCGAGCAGTCACAACAGGGCACATTAAAGTGGAGATGTTGCACTGGCATCGCAAGAGAGCAAGCCTTCGATCGGCCTCCTCCAATGGGGGGAGGTTAGGTGTGCAGAAAGAAAGAGCAAGAGGGAGCAAGAAGAGGGAGGATGGATGGGGCTGGGTCCAGGCTTTGCAGTCCATGGGCTGCAAGATCAACCTGCTCTTCACTGACCTTTTTCCCGGGGCCAATCCTCATGAAGCCCCACGCGGGGTTCACGCGGGTTTGGAAAGTCAGTGGGATGACGGATGGTAAGCTCGGAGTGACCGAGGTTCCGACAGAGCTGCCCTCCCCCACGTTCAGCGCTCGGCATAATTCGCGGACATTGGGGATTGAGTCCCACAGCCTGCAGGCTTGGAATTTGGAGTCTTCGAGCGGAGGGCGTAAGGCTTTCAAGTTGGGATGGTTTCAGAGTTTGGGGTTGTTGTTTGCAGCAGGTCGTTCCCTGTTTTCTTTGGCGCACGACCCTATGGACCCCAAATCGCACTCTCAGGCTGAAACAGTCAGGAACGATGCGATGTGATTCCGTTGTGCGGTGCTTTTCTTTCTTTGTATTTATTATCTACATGTATATATATATATGTGTAAGTTTTCTGTCTCTCTCTCTCTCTCTCTCTCTCTCTCTCGCTCTCTCGCTCTCGGTCTCGCTCTCGCTCTCGCTCTCTCTCTCTCTCTCTCTTTCTCGCTCTCTCTCGCTATCTCTAACTCTCTCTCTCTTTCCCTCCCTCCCTCCCTCCCTCCCTCCCTCCCTCCCTCTCTCTCTCTCTCTCTCTCTCTCTCTCTCTCTCTCTCTCTTCGGAAATTCGGAAAGAGTAGGAGTAGCAGCAGCAAGTTTCTCGCAGTGGCCTTCTTGGTTGAGGTCGGCAGCGCCAGCTGCGACTGGCGAGGCCCGCAGCTCAGTGCGCATGGGCTGCGAAGGGGATTGAGAACATAAGGTGCAGGCTTAAATCGCAACCTCCAAAACAAAGCTAGCCACTTCCAGACCTAGAAGGCTGACATGCAGCACTATTTGGTGAGTCTCAAGGGCAAGCCATCCCATACCCGAACCCTCACGGCAACGTTAGGGTAGGGGTTGTCATGGAAGCAACTCTTATCACTGCAATGTTGCACTCCCCAATCCGTATCCCTAAGCCCTAAACCCTAAACCCTAAACCCTAAACCCTGAACCTTGAACCCTAAACCCTAAACCCTAACCCCTAAACTCAAAACCCTAAACCCCACCGCATGCCTGTGGAGGAGCTCGTCACGACTGCCCCGCCTCCGACGGCCCCGACGGCGCTTGTGCAGGAAGCGCTGGGGACCCAGAGAAAGGGGGCACACCGGTCGGTGTTTCGCAGACGAGGCCATGGCTTGGCAGTGCTTAGGAACAAGATGGTGTGCATTTGAAGTCCTGGTCTCGTAACCGTTCAGGCTCCAAACCTCCAGCCCGAAGTCATCCCCGAAGGCGCACGCTGGCTGCAATACTGCAAGCTCTCCCGCCGAGGCCACCAGATGCAGATTTCCCACCTCCGATGCCGGAGTCTGCGATACCGTCGCCGGAAGCTTAGGGACTTACGGCTTTCAGACGTAGTCGCTCGCAATTTACTTACGGTCGTGCCGATTCACTGAAAATATCAGCTTTCATGATGTAACAGGTGCTCACAGATGTTTATTCCCCCTTGCATGCCGGACTTGAACTTTTGAACCAAAACTGCCCATCGGTAGTTGCAGGTCTTTCAGGGTTCGCGTTGGCATTTTTTGTGGTTGCAAAGGTGCTTTTTTGTGGTTCCAAAGCTTAAGATTGGTCGAGCAATCTTGCTTGATTTTGGGTTTTTAGAGTTTGGGGTTGGATGCAGCACTTGTGCGTAGATTCAGGACAAGGCCTTCGCTGACACACCCCAAGAAGCACGAGTGCTTGCCGTAAGAAAGATTCCCCGTGCAGGACCGCGCCACCACGCCAGACTGTGCCAAGAGTCAAGCTTTGCAGCCCCATTGAGCGCGATTCCCTCCTCCCTCCCCTTGGCCATCTCGACTGGCCCCAGAGGTCGGTGGCGGGGTCGCCTTCTGCAGCGGCCTCAGCAGCATGCGACATGGGCAGCTTCAAAACTCTCAGGGCAGTTTTACATGCACTCTTTGTTATCTGGGTGCTGTGCATGGCTTTACGGGCTTGTGGTTCGGCGATCGAGGGAGTGTGACTGGGAGGATCTGGGAGGGAGACTTGTCGAATGTCTGCATCCATGGAGACATCGGGATGTCGCGTTGAGCCCAGGAGATGCCGGTACCCGTGCAAGAAACGGACGACGAGGCGCGGATTCGCAGATGGTCGGCTTAGGGCTTTCCATGGTCTATAGGAGGTAGGGCGTAGACTTGCAGGGGAACATTCCCCGAACTGCAAAATGCTTGTTGCGACCCAAACCCTGAACGATCAACTTTCAACAGAAGCCAAACCCACTAAATCCCAAACACCCTAAACCCTGTCTTCGGGGAAGCATGCCGAACCTCTGAACCTCCCAAAACCAAGCTTCAAAGCCTCTGCCCACGCCCAAAGCTGCCAGCTGCAGGCACCAGGGGGAAGGAGGCCGGGGATCACTCACGCGTGCGTGCGTGCGTGAGTGTGTGGGTGTAGTCTCTCTGTCTGTCTGTGTGTGTGTGTGTGGGAGAATGGAGAGTTCCACAGGTTTGGGTTTGGGCGATCTACCGGGTATGTTTGTTCCTGGCGGCTGTTTGCGGTGCACCTCATGTCTGCATCTGAAGGCCGCATGTGGTGAGAAGGTGGTACAAGTACCCCAACACCAGCCTAACTCAATGTTTAGTCGTCGTAAGAAGACATAGTAAATGGATAGTTTCAAGCCATGCTGTTTATCAACCGTGGAACCCGCATGTAATGCCTGAACCCTGGGCGGACAGCTGGACTCGACACCGGCCCGCCACTACCCATCCGCGATATGAGCACCTTGAGTGCCAACAAGAGCACCCAGGGCGCGCGATGTAGGGTTGCATGGTTGAGGGTGTAGGGTTTGATTTCAGGGCTGAGGGTGTAGGGTTTGATTTCAGGGCTTGAGCAGGCTTCCTGGCTTATGCCAGTTTATTCCAGTTTTCAGTACCCTCTGCTATCTTGAGACATGTTCTACATCCTGGGGCTACAGTCTTCTGATGTAGAGCAACCACAAATCCTACAGCAAGACCCCGACACAGGAAGCGTGTCACGAGGTCCTCGCCCACCGCCTCCCTGGCAAGTATTCAAGTCAATTTTCTCCCGAAGAGATGAGCTGCCAGTCGGGCTTTAGGTTGGCGAGCTTGCGAGGGGCCTTGAAGGAGGAGCTTTACGTCACGTCCCACAAGAGATTCTACATGACGTGCGGGATCCCCTTTGCCGACACGCGACAGATGTGGTCCGATATGCAGGTACCCTCTCTCGGACACAGCAATACTGATAACAATGAGACCAAGGGCAAGTGGATCGGGCGTCGAGCAAATAACCCCTGAGTTACAAACCTGGAAGCACCGCCAGGAAGTGGCCGTGTTGGTGCCAACAGAGAGGCCATCCCCAACATCTCACGACATCGCATGGGAGGCAGGGAAGGGCTTCCAGGCTTCAGGTTTGTTGCTGGGTTCCGGGCCGCAGTGATTCTGGAGCGTCTGTGGCTGGTGTTGCTTTGCTGAAGATCGGCTACCCACAAGCCTTTCAGCCCTAGCCCTCAACCCAAGATCCTCAAACTGTAGGCAGCTTTGTGAATGACCCAGCTTCCTGGAAGCCCCCTCGCCCCCCCCCCCCCCACCCTAAACCCTAAACCCTAAACCCTAAACCCTAAACCCTAAACCCTAAACCCTAAACCCTAAACCCTAAACCCTAAACCCTAAACCCTAAACCCTAAACTCTAAACCCTAAACCCTAAACCCTAAACCCTAAACCCTAAACCCTAAACCCTAAACCCTAAACCCTAAACCCTAAACCCTAAACTGTACCCCTCTGTTCCTGCCTCAGGTGCCGGTGCAAGGCCTGGGGCACGCGACGGCCTCAATCCTTGTCAGGTTGAAGGATGCCTGCGAGTTTGGATGGTTTGGGGCCCTAAACCCTGAAGCCTAAAGCCTAAACCCTAAACCCTAAACCCTAAACCCTAAACCCTAAATCCTAAATCCCTAAACCCTAACCCCTAAACCCTAAACCTAAACCCTAAACCCTTTGGGGCCTTGGGCGCTTCCACTGCTTTGGGGTTTCACAGGGTCCTTGTGGTGGGAGCTTCGAGGCTTACGGTAGAGTAGACACATTGGAGCGGCTTCTGGTGTTTTTCTTGATGTTGTTGAGGGAGAAGTTTACAGTGGGGCTGGTATCGCTTTCGGAAGGAGGTGTCTTGAGATTGCCGAAAGAGACGTTGCTCTCGGGATGAGCAGCTTGGGGCTAAGGCTTCAGGACGGTGGCCGGTTTCGGGGTGTAGGGGGGGTATAGGGGTCTGGGCTGCCATCCCTCTCACACCTCGCTATCAGAAAAGCCCAGCAGCTTCAGGAGTTCTCGTCGGCGGTGGGCATGTCCTCCTCGGTTCGGACCTCGGTTGGGACACCTTGACCCGAACCTTTAAAGCGAACGGAACACGGTCGGGCCGGGGGCCTGCATGCGATCTTCTTTGCAGGAAATAAGCTCCGTAAACTCAGCTTGGGAAGGCCGCCACGCAGTCGCCCAGCGAGTTGCCGGTGCCCACAGAGCGACCGTCGCCGGCAGAGCCACCAGCAGGGGGCTGAATCTTGAGGCCTTGTCTGTTTAGGACGAATCCTCTCGGGTGCGTTGGTTTACGATAGCTTCTCGTGCGAGTTGCATATTTGGCACGCTCAACAACATGTCGGGTCAGCTTCGGCCCATCAATGGCCAGCGGGGGCAGTATTGTTTCAGGGCTGCACCAAATACACTTTGGAACACCTTGCCTTTCGGGACTCCCCTCAACCCCCCACGCCCCCCCCCCCCCCCCCCAAGGAGGCATGAGCATGCAAGTAGGTTTCAATACTTCCCACATCCCAGCCTAAACAAAGCAATTGAGGGGCACTAGCGAAATCATCTGGATTGGGGTTCCAGGAGCCCCGTGGGCATTGGCATGCTACTGTGCGTGCAGGGATAGTCAGCGGGACGAGGAGTGCTCTGGAGACCCGGGGCGAAGAGAATAGCCGAGTTGAGTTGAAGGTCTAGGAGTCTAGCAACCCCACACCGAAGGTGGGGAACATCTTAAGCTTCTGCGATGTATGGCCGCAGCCTCGCCAGGCGGCTGACAAGGGCCCATCAGCAAGCCTCCCCTTACCTAGGAAAGCACTACCGATTAGGATGCGTTGAAGGGCTCGGAGACGTCCACAACGCTGGGAGCACAGCTAAACCCCAAAACTCCCAGTTCTAAGCTCGAGGTGCTGGCAGCGAAACGGAATGCGGGGTTTTTTGGAGCCTAGGTCAAAGTCAAAGCTCAATTCCTCAAAGCATCCGTCCGGCTGACAACCTGCTAAAGTCTCTCCGCCTTCTCCCAGGTGGGGCGCCCGACGCCCAAACTCCCCGCAGTTGCCGCCCGGACCTCGGAGCGTTTACAAGATCGAGGGTGATGCTGCGCAGAGTCTCAAAGACCCCAAAGGAAACGTGTGGAATAACCCCCCAACAGGCCAGCACATGAGCTCGTCCAAGCCCTGCACATCATGCGAGTTTCGGCTTTTTTATCATGAGCCCTACCTGAGACTGCAGACTGACAGGCTGTGGAGTCCGGAATGCTCGGCTCCTCCGTAGCTTGGCTGAGACTTGGGGCTTATCGAGCTTGTCAAAAGTTTGTAGAGATTCGGATGATTAGGAGTATCACGAAATCTTGCGAGTCGTACTGCGATGAGACAGCCCCTAAGCCACGAGCTTTAACACAGTCCGGGATGCATGCTTTCGTGCGGGTGCATTCTGACCACTAAACATTTCATAGACATCCAAGTTGCAAACTTTCATCAAGCCTCAATGGTTTGGGCTGTGTCAGAAGTTCTATCGCCTCGTCCGCTGGATTTCCACAACCCCAATTGAGATCTGGCCGAGTGTTCGAAAGCTAAGCTGCTGCATATGAGTGCAGGCGGTTGTGGGGTGCGGGTGCGTGGGTGTGGGCGGGAGGAGCAAGATCTGCTCACCGCTCACTCTTTGGCCCTTTGGTCCTTTTCTTTTGTGTTCCTCCTTTGGATTCAAGGATTTGCATGATTTGCGAAACTGCTTCTTCCGTGTCCTGTGTGGGACTCTTTTGGCGATCGTCCTGTTGTTGAGTTGATTGCTCCAGAAGCGAGACTTTACTTTAAGCTTCAGGGCCGGCTGCAAATTAGCCACGCTACATCCGTTCTAACCCACTTGTACTGGTCCTTGCGCATCTGTTCACCCAAAGCCTGGCGCTTCGGCTCCGGAAGCCGTGAGAGGCAGATCAGGGACCGTTTAGGGTTTAGGGTTTAGGGTTTAGGGTTTAGGGTTTAGGGTTTAGGGTTTAGGGTTTAGGGTTTAGGGTTTAGGGTTAGGCCCTAAACCCTCTCCTCAACTCGCCTTGGCCTGTCTTGGCATGAAGCACAACCTACACCAAACCGAAAGCCCCAGTCGTCGATGTTGAGGAAAGCCGAAAATCCACAACTGTAGTTGGGAAATGGCGGAGACAGAAGAGTTCGGAGGGTTGGAGAAGAAGCGCAAACAGAACCACCCGTCGTTCTCCAACTCGACTCGCAAAAGGCCCTGGACAGTTCGGCTCTCGCATCAGGCCTGCGCTCGGAATTTAAGGGCATGCGGCTTGGGGCTTCTGGAGATTGTGGCGGTTTCAGTGTTCTCGGTTGCAGAGATGATGCCCAAGTTGGCTTCATGGGCAGCTTGCAACCACCGGGGTGCTCGGCAACGAGTGCGAGTGTCTTCTTTCGGCAACTTGGGATAGTGCTGGTGAGTGTTGCAAATCGGGCAAGCTTTCAGACTCCCGCGATGGCACTCCTTACAGAGGCCTCAAGCAAGAACTGCTGCCAGCACAGCCCCCCGTTTTGATTAGGGCTGAGCTCCACGTCAAAGCTCCAACCCCCACCTCGAGTGCATGCCCCCCCCCCCCACACAGACTTAGCCCCAAAGGCTTACTGCAGAGTGCGAGCTAGGTGTCTGCAAAGCCTCAAGCTCTCAACCCCCATGTCTCCATTTCTGGTGCCACCGCATGCAAACGTGCACTAAATCCTGCCCCGCTTAATGCCATATCGCGGTGGTGAAGGTCAGCAGCACTCCCCGACGGAGATGCCAGTGCCAACAGACGTGCCGTCACCGACCACGCCCGAGGAGGATGAAGGCAGCCTCAGAAGGGAATCCTTTCTTTCGGGTCATGTGTTCCTTTCAAGCTGGTTGGTTGTTTGTTCTTGGGTACGCACCATCGCCAACGTCCGCCGCAGCAGCATCAAGACCAGCAGCACGAGCACCACGACCGCGACAACAGAAGAACAAATCGACCAAGTTTTTCCTCCGCTCCTTTCAAGTTTAGAAAGTAAATAATTAGGGTTGAGGGTTTAGGGTTTAGGGTTTAGGGTTTAGGGGCTGTGCTGTGTAAGGGTGCTACAGGCTGGCCTTTGGCTATGTCCATGGTCCTGGGAGCTTATGTAAGGCAGCTTGAGCCAAAGCCCAAACCTACACCTCTAGCTTCAGACGGCCTTTTGGGTTGGTTGCGCCGGGTCTCCTGGCAAACTTGCTTCCTGGAATATCGGGCAATCAATGGACATTCCTTGAACCCCCGCGTGAATCCTTTCCAAAGATCCCCGGGGATCAATGGCTTGCCGATGAGAATATAGACGCACCCCCCACCCGTTTTGAGTCACTCTCTCTAGCATTTCAACGCAATATCAAAGCAAGCGGGCGAGGGCTTCTGAACCAACACATGAGCTCTAGAGTCTGTGAGAGACTCGTGGCCGTAGCCTAAACCCTAAACCCTAAACCCTAAACCCTAAACCCTAAACCCTAAACCCTAAACGTGAGAGCACATTTGCCGGGTTTGTAGATTCTCGGGCGGTGTACAGATGGGATTCGGCTCTCCAGGGACTTAGCATCGTTCATCACAGCTGATTCCAGGGCAAGTAGATGCACAACTGAAACTCCAGGTGTTGCATATACCTGCGCCCGAAGCCTGAACCCTTCAGACCATGAAGCCTCAATGCCCAAAGCCTCAAGCCTAGAACAAGAGTCCCGCTAATCAAATCCGATCCCAAAAGCAGGCGAGACCGTAACTGCGCCCCCAGTCGCCACGGTCGCGACCTCAGACCCCGCGATTCTGCCTTTGGGATGTAGGGTGCAGTGGGCTCTTTTAGGGAGATGGTGATCTTCCAGGGTGTGCTGAAGATGCCGATTGTGCAGCTGGGACATCCGAGAGCGCGCTCTTAAGTGTCGGCCAAGTTCGTGACAATCAGTACTGGGGCTTATGCTTGTTGACTTCATGAAGTGCCGACATATGTACAGCATCTGTGGCGGTCCGCGCCCACGCGCCGACTCTTGAAGTAAGCCTCGTGCAATTTGGCACATTTAGAGTATCTTCCAGGCGAAGACAAGCAGCATCGAGAAGACCCTGACGCACTCCCGGCCCGCCACATCAGTAGACCAGCATGGGGCCCAGGCGTTCATGCGGTCTGCGGGCCTCACGCGTTCATGAGAATGTTACGACCACAACCAAGATATCAGCTGAGATACCAGCATCTCTAGGAATCAAGTTATTCGGACCCCGCTCGCCTCGCGAAGGTTGGCCTTATGCTGTGAACCCTCAAGCATCCCCAAGCCAGCCCATCCAGGCTTTAACGGAGGTTGTAGGGCTGCGAGGTTGCAAAGCTGCGTAGAGAACTTGAGGCTCAGTTTAGGGGCAAGGGGCACTGTGTCACTGTGAGACGCAGGCACTGCTGTCCCAACAGCCAGCCGCTGTGGATCAGCCCACACCTAGGTACGAAATCTTTCTCAGGCTTCCAGATTAGGGTTGTCGGACCTTAAGCCCTGGCTAGTAAGCAGTGATGTAACACACACACACACAGACCCCTAAGCTTCATCTCCACCATTTTGACTCCACCAGGTCTTCGCCAGTAGACTTGCCCGTGCCGACCGCCAGGAGAGCTCCGATATCTGGGAAGAGAGATTCCCGGGGTCTGGTGTGAATTGCGGGGCGGTCCATGCCAACCGCAGAAGTTCTTCAAACCCTCAGGGCTATCCTAAGCAAAGAGTTCGCTTGGGGCAGAGAAATGGGAAAGCCCAGCTTCATGATCGCAAGTTCGTGCTTGCTCTGCGGAGCTCTCGCTGCGCAGGCCGTCTCCAACCTCCATGAATGAGGGTGAGGATGAGGAGGAGGTGGGTCCGGGCCTGGAATTCTCACGGCTTTGCAAGCCCTAAGCCCTAAACCCTAAGCCCTAAACCCTAAACCCTAAACCCTAACTCCCCAGTCCGTCAGTCGTCTTCTACATCCGAGCACTGCACTGAACGAAGTTGAGATCGATAAGCACGGGGCTCCATCATCTGCAGGGACACCTGCGTGTAAGCCTACCGACTGGGCAACAAGAACCCCCAAGCAAGCGCTAGACATCTAAAGGAGGTCATTGGGGTTGTAAATTGTAAAAAAACCCTAAACCCCAAACCCTAAACCCTGAACCCTGAACCCTGAACCCTAAACCTCAAGAGCCGAACAGCAAGGGCATGGAAGCGCTTGAAGCCCTAGAACAGAGGCGGCTAAGGAAGGACGTCGAAGCCTGAGAGCCGTATTGCTGCAGAGGACTCCCACAGCCGAGCAACATAACTTCGCAAAGGGTTTAGGGTTCATAGGCGCTTTAGGGTTTAGGGTTTGCAGGGTTTAGGGTTTAGGTTTTGCGGTGGGGGGGGGGGGGGGGGGGGGGGGAGGGGCACCTTCCAAGCGCATCTCGCCCCCCGAGAAGAGCTGAAGCGCCCTCGGCCTCGAGCAGGCCATCGTCGGGCCGCTGCCGGATGCAGCGATGAAGCCGCCAGGACCACACGGGGGGAAGTTGAGGAAGGGCTTAGGGTTGGGTTCTCAGACTCAAGGAGTCGGGATCCTAGACTCGGGGCCAAGGATTACGGTAGACGTGCCATTTAAGCTTGAGCTGGGTCTTCGTGAAGCAACTTACAATGATAATTCTCCCGAGAGGCTCCATCCAAGTCTAGTCCAACGAAGCCCCAAGCTTCCACAAAAGCAAGCTCCTCAAAGCAAGCACTGCGTGCCAGAACCCGGCGCCTTTGGCATCGCGCGCCCGCCACGGCTTCTTCGGAGCTTCAGGGAGTTCAGAGGTATTAAACGGTGCTTCGTTGGATATAGGGTTGGATATGGGAAGTTAGACCAGGGCTCCAGTCAGAGCTTGGGGTTGGGAGCTTGGGACTTTCCAACGCGCGGCACCTGAGCTCCTGCCAAGAGCGCTGAGCCCGTGCAAAGCCCCGTCGTCCCGCCCTGCAATGTGTGGGCGGATTATGGCGGATTATGTGTTTCGGGCTTAGAGCGATCTCTGCATATTCCCGATTCTAATGAAGAACTTCGGGCTGGGCGTTGTTCAGCAGGGCTCTTTCGTGCCGTGCTCTTTCGTCTTTGGCGTCTTGGCTGTTCTGGAACCGCCAACAACTTGTTGAAGAAAGCGCTGACATAATGGACCCTGAGCTTCTGAGCAGTAAATGTGAGAGGCCGAAAGGGGGAAGAAGCAGTGTGAGACAAGTCCTGCAACGCGCCAGGCACCGCTAGCATTGGGAGCAGGCGATGCTGAGGCCGGGCTTAGACCTCAAGGTGTTCGATGCGTGTACGATGCGGTTTCGATGCGTTTGAGGGGTGTGCACCTAAAGCACATCTACGTCACAGTCGCATTTAGGGACTTTTAATGTTAAGACCCCTAAACCCTAAATGTTTTTTTTGAACGTTAAAAAACCCTAGATGCGACGTTTAAGGGTTCACGGGATGCCAAGTTTTGCAGGGTGCGCCTAGGCTCAAACGAAGCGTTGCTAGGGGGGGGAGGGTTTGAGGAGTGTAGGAAGGAAGGGGCACTAGCCACTCACACTACCATTCGCCAGCAGCAGCAGCCGAATTTTCGGGCACATGCAGAACCGCGTGTGGGGGAGGGGTAGTAGGCCAAACGACATCGGTTTGAACAACGCGCAGAGCTTGCTTGGCTTATATCTCACTGTTGCGCCCGCAGCTGGTGTCGAAATATCCAGCTGCCTATTCGCAAATACACAGGCCAGCAGTGAACTATGTTTCCCTAAACCCTAAAGCCTAAACCCTAAACCCTAAGCCCTAAACCCGGAATTCTGGAAGAGACTTTCGAGACTGCCAACGCGCCTAAGTAAGGCATCTAGCAACAAACCACAACCGAATCGCAGTAATGTCCTGGCACCTCTATAGATTGCTTCTGCCCACGCAGAAAAGAGGAAAGACGGGAATCTTGAAGGTTTGAGAGGATCGAGGGTTCCGGGGCGCAGGTGCCAGCGCCGCAGGAGTCCGCGCTGGCAGACAGCGCCTGGCAGATGCCTGAGTTGCGGACTTCTTTGAAGCAGCGCCCTGTGCCCGAGCAGTTCAGGGACTTGGTTTCAAGAGGAGCTTGGGGGGGTTTTCGGGTAGCTCTTCGGACCCTATCAGGTTTCCCCACACAAGACAGGGCTTGGTGGCTCTTTGCATCTTGGGGCGCAGGGGTCCTGATTGAGCCTCGAAGAGGATCTCGGAAGGCTTGCAGGCGGAGGAGGTGAGCGCAGGGATTCTGCGTCGGCGTGGTACGCGGGCAAAGGGCGCATCATCTTGTCCTTGCCTCGTTGTTGTGTCAAGCGATGGACAGTGTCATGGCCGGTCGCGATGCGCACGCTTCCGTGTTCCATGTAGGTTTCCGGCAAGCACTCTGCTTTCCAGGCTCAGCACCTCGCAGCTTCGTACTCCGCAGTTGTTGTTTGCCCTCGGTCCCTTATAAACGTTGCAGCGTTTGTGGCGGCAAAGTAGCTTGCATCGATCTGAAGAACACCCCGAACATGTCCCGAGTGGTGTCTCTAACCCTCGGCCATTCAGTGGCCATTCTAGATCCGAATCGAGCCTTGAGGTCAGAGTCCGCTCCTGAACGAACTCCGACGGAGCTGCCCGAGGTGCACGGGCGGTGAGTCCCAAACGCCCGAAGCTCTCTGCACAAGGGCCCATTGCCCGCGCTTCGGTTGGTCTTCTTCCATCGAAATGCCTTCTCACAGGACATGCCCGTGCCGACGGACGTGCCTTCGCCAACCTCCTTGCGCTCTGAGGACGAGGCGCGCTTTTGGGGCTTGAGCCTTGTGCAGGCTTCTTGCCGACGGGAGCAGTGAAGTTTCTTGGTATGCAAAGGTTCTTGCTCTGCCGACTGTGTGTAGATTGTATTTTCGATGCCGATGCACGCTCAAGTACTGCCATCGGCAAAAATAGGGATCACACGCTATTCTGCAGATTCCAGAGATACCCTCCCCGATTGTATGCTTCGTAGATTGCAGGGATGCTGGGTGGTTTGGGAGGATTGGTCTTCTTGCCTTGTGGATCTCGAAGCTGCTTGGGGTCAGAGCCGATAGGAGGCTGTTCAACATTTGGGGGGGGACCCGGGTTAGTACAGTGAAATTCTTGCACTCGGGGTGCCAGTAGTCCTCAAAGGCGGGTTGGGAGAGCGCGAGAGAGAGAGGCAGCACATCACCGAACCGAGCTAGCTCCGACCCCCCCCCCCCCCTGCCAGCAGGCGGACACCATCGTGGAGCAGGTCGGCACCTTGCCGATGCCTCAGACGCTGAGACTAAGCTTCAGCTCCTAGGTTCCGATTTCTTACGGCTGAACTAAGCTTTGGGGCCTTGATAGCCCCAATCAGCTGTATCTGTAATTGCCTGAAACTCCAAAACCTTTCCCCATAGATCCGGCATGCTGAGGCCTACGCAGACATTGGTGGCCCCTTCCTCCGAGGCGCCCGGATGGGCTGGTAGGTGCAGGCTGGCAGGCTGCCGAGAAGGTGTTAGAGAAGATTCTGGGCTTACGAGTGGATATCGTCAAGTCTGGCCCAGCAGAAGCTTGAGAACAAAGATGGGTACCCAGGAGGTGAGGAGGTTTGGCTTCTTGATGCTGCTTGCAGCAAGTCGTAGATTCAGATGGCCGGGCCGGGCAGACGTTGCCACTTTGCAAAGTCCTCCGCTGAATGCCTCAACCCTAAACCCTAAACCCTAAACCCTAAACCCTAAACCCTAAACCCTAAATTCAACAACCCCACTGAAAACGGTTCATCATGTGCACAGGCGCGTGCTCGGGTCGCCGTTCCTTCGGAGGATGAGACCGCCGAGACGAATGCGAGTAGCCCAGCCTTGTCGCAGTGACGTGTCCTTTCGGGTTTTCAAGTTTTCAGGACCTATAAGGTGACTCACAGGCGTATAATAAAGGGTTCCAATTAAGGGTTCTAGTTAAGGGTTGTGACTTTAACGCTACGCGACCCGCCTCGGCCCGGCCCAGCGCATCCGCGTGAGCATGGTGATTCCGCAGCGCCCAAGTCGCTGGACCCCAAGCAATAAGGGTTGGGTTTAGGGTTTAGGGTTCCGGGTTTATGGTTTATGGTTTGGGGTTTAGGGTTGAGGGTTAGTTTAGGATTGAGGGCTTAACGCTTTGGGGGTTAGGGTTTTTTTGGGTTTAGGGCTCAAGAGACGGTTCGGCTTGGATTGATCGTAGGGTTGAGCCAGGCCCCCACGGGGGGTAGGGGGGTGGGGGGAAAATGGGGGGGAGGGAAGGGAGGAGGGGGGGCAGGGAGAGGGGGGGTTTGTTGAAGGTTTGAGGGTTGACTCTTCGGCTCGTGTGGTGCATGCCCACCCGTGCTCACACCAGTTCAGCCTCGAAAACCCGCACCCTGTAGTGGTTTTGGGAGGGGAGAGGGGGGGTGGGTAGGGGGGCTGGGAGGGGGCAGGGGGAAAAGGGGGGGGGGGCCCTGTTGGGAGGGGCTTCAACTGCCTCTGGCCGTCCGCTTGCGGACCCCGGTTTTCTAGGGGGGGGTGCCCATTTGAGGCAAAAAAGGGGTCCGAAAAATGGTATTTGGAGGGGGGTGCCTGTTCTCGCAACCTATACACCGGCCCGAGGCCTCGGCGGACTAAGGGTTCTAATTCAGGGTTCGGTTGTTCATGACTTGGAGCTTCATGTTTTTAGCCTTCGAGGCTTTGGGGTGGCGGATTCGGATTTCAACTTTGTATGCAGCGGTGTTGACTTGTTGATCCCTGAGCCCCGAGCACGATCTCGAAATCCGAAGTCGAAAGTTCGTGTAGCAACACTTTGTCGAAAGACTCGGATGTGTTATTGCGTTATGTCGCCTTAAATTCTCAACGGCCTGATCCACGATCTCGAGGGTCTCTCGCCAGCCGGTGACTGGAAGTTCTGTTGGCCATCAGGGCGCATGGAGGCTGACCCGTTTGCGGGCTGAAATCGGGCAGCGGGCCGGCCGCCTGCCTGGAACTTGAGGCCGGCCCAGAAAGCCGCGTGGACAACGCGGTGCTGGGAGTCAGGCTTCTGAGTACGCCGCCACGCCATGGGTTTGGGGTTTAGGGTTTAGGGTTTAGGGTCCGGTTCAGGGGTGCTTTGGCCGTGGGACGGGAGTTGAGTCCGAGGTTCCCGGCGTGCAGGCTTCGGCGGCGGCCGGATCGAGTGTCTTCATGCAGCAGCCTCAACATCGCTGGGGCTGGCCGTTAGTTGGGGTTTTTGGGGGCTCGTAGAAACATGGGAAGAGAAATTGTACGAGGGACTACAGGCTTCATATAAAAGTATGGATGCAATATGATACTCAGGACTCAGGAAATAGAGTTATGAAAACAGATAGGAACTAGTGTAAACATAGAGGAAATAACGGCACGGGCTCGCGGAAACACCGAAAGCGTCACCGTTCGCGACTTGGAATGCACACGGGCACGCGGAAGCACCGGAGGGTCTTCACTTGCGATTTGGAATGCGCGCGGCGCCTAATTAGGCGAGAGGCTCAAAAGCTAAATTCAGATTGTTAAAAAACCTCTCCCAAAAAACAAGTATCCCAATTCTATTCCGCGCCCCAGCAGGGTTTGGGGTTTAGAGTTCCGAGGCCAACTCTGAGCCAGACCGGTAGG